TGAGTAAAAAGAAGTATGAATAATATTGTAATTTCAAAATACAACGCATAAGGTTCCTAATTAAAAGAAACCTGCATCCCGCGATTGATCAAGGGATAATATCTTACTTGAAACATTTATTGCAGCTAAGTTCAAGGACGGAACAAGCAAAGATCACGGGGGCAAGGAGAAGCAGGACCGCGACAACAACAATGGTGACACGGACGACGAGAAGCACAAAGAGGAGGAACGGCGATTCGAGCCGTCTGCGGCCGTCGACAGTGACCTTGTCGATATGCTTGGTTTGTACTTCATCTATCACTTGTTATATAGTTATTTACAACGCGATTATATTCCAGTAGTTTCACACACGCATACACTTATACATCCACACACGCAGTCGTACATGCAGACATACACACGTCACACTGTAAATTTAGGTAAAGTAATGGATTACTTCGCCTTAATTTAGTGTTATTAATTTCTTACCGAAGTAAGGATTTGGCGGCCAGAAATAAACGATCAATCTAGTTAAGACACCAGTCTTTACAAAGATTGTTTGTTGCCTAATGTAAAATAGAAGCAAATATCAAAATAATGTATAAAGTGTAAAACTTTGGGGAGAAAATAAAGGTTATCTATATTATTATTATTGAAAAAAAAAAGGGACTGCTTCTTAGGAAATGAAACTATATTTTGGATGTAAATCGGTTATAATTGTTTTATTCTCAGCCAACTCTGACAATGGGATCGGTAAAGCCCTATATATTATTAACTATATATCAACTAGAACGTCGATGTGTAGAACTTTGATGCAGTGTAATTTCAATTGTATCGTAATAGCACAAGATATCGATGTAATAACGGTTTTCAGTATAAAGTCGATGTTGCTATTTTCGATGTTATGATAAGGTTGGTTGTATGATCATTTTGCTAAGCGAAATTAATATAGTTCTCTTCACTTGCGTAGACAGTGTGATTGTGACTTGTAACCTGTTGTTGCTATACCTAAGACGTTCGTCTTCTGTTTGATGGCTTATTTATATTTATAGTTCTTATCGGTGATGCTCAGTTTATGCTATAAGGGCCTGTGCATACGGCGTATACGCACCGACCGTCGTCGGTAGTGTAGTGAATCGATTCAAACGCGCGCAAATATCGCGTTGCAAGCGATAAAAGAAGCTTAGATACTCCACTGGTGTTTACACTAAGAATTTCATGTAGTTCTTTTTTTATACTATCAAGTGACGGAACGAACAAGTCGTGCGCCTGATGGCAAGCTACGCGCCTGTCCATAACATTTGCAGTGCCACTCAGAGCTTTAAATCGCAAAGATCCGAGGGGCACTGCCACTGCTCCCATCACCCTGAAACATAAGTAGACAAGTCCCATGTGCCTGTAATTTCACCAGCACCCTTTAGGAACACAGTAGGTAATGCTAGTGAATGTAGTTGGTTCATTTCAAAAACTAACTGAAATTAACAAAAAAAATAAAATTAAAACTATCTCTTATCAAAAGGCGCGATTCATGCGTGCGACTACAGTGCGTCTACGGCACGTATGCGCGCGTCGTGGGCGCGTATAAAATACGCCGTGTGCATAGGCTAAGCTTTATCCTAAACTTTGCACACTCAGTCATAGCTTGTATATACGAACTGTCACTTTTTGGCCAATTATTTTAACTCTTATGTAAATAATTAACGATACTATTTTCCTACTATAAATAAAATAAATAAGTAAAATAAAACTTCTTTAAAAACATTAATTTGCTATCAGCCTGGATTTGGAATATATTCAGGCAAACAAAATGACTTAGTTAAAATTTCGCTAACATTTAAATATACTTTGTAATTTCTTGCTTAATCTTAAGCAAATTTAGTTTAGTTTTGTGCATTCCAAAAACTTGCTTAGCACGCCAGTTTTGATTGGTCGAAGTCAACTTCCTTTTATATACAAAACGTTTCGGTAATACACGGAAAATTAGTTTGACTAAGGCCCATAATACAAGCGGAAAGGGGATGAGATTAAATATTTGTATTTCGTCATTTTCGCCTAATTCTACGAAATCATATTACTATTATAGTGACCTTTTCTTTGCAATGAAATATAATCGAGGTGTTTTTGAAGGAAGAGAACGTACTAACCCTCGGCTTTCACGTAAATATTTCTCTAGCTATAATATTGTCTCGCTTGCAAAGTATAAAACAAAACTTTTATGCGAATTTCAAAGTGGTTATAATGCTATGCGAAATCTATGAACACTATATCATTATAATGTAGTCCAAGCGTTGAGTGGGTAATCATTGTAAGGAACGATCGATTCGGTTTCCTTGCCTACTTTATTTATGTTACATCACGTGCTGTAAGTCGTAATTTCTGACACGGCCCTCAAAAAATAATCATTCTAAGAGGACGTTTAGCGCTAGCGTCGTGGCGACAATCTTAGAGCATCGTGTGGCATCCCTCTTGTAAAAAATGACGTTATGCGAACTTTGTATCCAATGATCAAGCCCATACATGCCAACATGATAAGTCTGAACGATACAAATATGGACTTTGCTTTGTGAATCAAATTGTGCCTAATACGAAAACGACACGTGGTCTATGGTCATGATGTATACAGAAGAGTCATAAAAATATTTTCTATTGCAGAGAGAGATATAGTACAAAAGAATCCCAATATCAGATGGGACGACATCGCTGACCTGGTCCAAGCTAAGCGTTTGTTAGAAGAAGCCGTCGTATTGCCTTTGTGGATGCCAGATTACTTTAAAGTAAGTTTCTCTTTGTTCGTCTGAATACTACACGATATGAAAACAGAAGTGTGTTATTTATCTCACATATTAATACAATGACTAACCGAAGTAGTAGCATATAATCGTCATATATCATCATACTCAACGTTATTCTTTTATGCTATTTGTGTACAATTACTATATATTATGTAATAATTATATTTATTTTAAAACAATTCATTTTTGAATTACGTAGTATACACGTACTTTTTAATAAAAAAATATGTGCGCATTTGACTTCCATCTCATCTTATGGAAAGTGACGATTTAATTTTTTGTAAGTTATTTAATTATTGTCATATTTAAGTATGTATACTTGCGTATGTTGTTCCGTGACCTTACTTAGGGTCGTATTCCAGAACTGTACTCAATGCTCAAGTCAGGATTTGAGCAGACTTGAGTATGATTTCAAGCACTGGAAATACGACCCTAATGGCAAGGACTTGAGTATGATTTTCAGTGCTCACTGCAATACCCAAGTCCTGACTTGAGTATGGAGTAGAGTTCTGGAAGGGTCCTAACTGAAAATTTGTGTTTTCGCATTGCACTTTCCAGCTACTTTTGACCCTTTTGTTAAAACAGCTGGCACCACACAAATTATATTGTATACTTCGTGTCTTCGTTTATGTAATAATCTGTGATTGAATTTAATTTTGTTTGTAATTATTTATTTATGTCGTACGTTTCAAGTTTTTTTATAGTTTCGTTATTTAATTTATTTTTCTTCTGTTTCGTTAATTTTTTCTTGTATGATGTGATTGGTAGTAGTCAAATGTATTTTCTTACAGTGAACCCGGACGAATTACATCTTACGTATGTCGCGGAGTTACGATTATTTTACGGTAGGCACGGATTTTCCGCAGTACATACGCACTGGTCCGGAGAATTCTCCACGCGGACTGTTCCTTGTCAAAAGGCAAGACTAAAAAAAATTCCATACGTAAAATAAATTTACACTTGAAAACGTCATTTTTTAAACTACTGCGCATTCACTAAGCCCTGAGAAAAACAAGCAAGAAACTCTACGGGTTGCTCAGCTATAGGTATATAAACTTAAATACTGTGGAATAACACTTTGAATCAAATTTGTGTGGATCTAGGGCCATGTCGTCTTTCCATACATTGTTATCTAAGATGTAATGTTTTGTAGTATGACTTTTTAATTAAAAACTTTTAATGTAAGGTGTAAACTAAAGGTGTAAAATAAGATCTTATTTCAAAAACATATACAGTTCTCCATAAAAGAATCGTTACCTTATTTAAACGAAATCGTGGTTCCATGAGTTTGGAGTTACTTCTAATGTTAATGTTATGGATTGTATTGTTTATTTTAAAACCGTCTACTAGCGCCATGCTGTGGCGATACACATTCTGAAATTAGCATCATTATGCTTATTAATCCACCAAAAATGGAGAGGACGTGCTTCGTTCTTCTGCGCTTTTCTAGTTAACTAGTATTTCTGTGGTCTGTAAGTAATTAGTAACGCACACACTCAACATAGCCCTGCACTAGGGAAACCCAGTGTCGCGGGTGCGCGATTAGTTAAAATAAGAACTAGTTGGTAACTAAAAATATTTGGCAGGGTATCCGACGACCTTGGAAAGGAGTTCTAATGGTGGGTCCCCCGGGGACGGGCAAAACGATGTTGGCGAAAGCGGTGGCCACCGAATGCGGGACCACTTTCTTCAACGTTTCCTCATCCACACTCACCAGCAAGTACCGAGGCGAATCCGAAAAGCTGGTTCGGTTGTTATTTGAAATGGTACGTTATTATTTTATATTATTTATTTATCGAGTTATTGGGATCTGGGAGTCAACGGTGACCGTGGGACCTGTAAAGAGAATTTCTAATTTGTTATCTGTTTACAAAAAAAAATGTACAATTTTAAAGCCTAAACCACAAAAAAGTAGTGTTAAGTTTTTATTCATTTATTTATTTGGTATCCAAATAGAACTATAGTTGCAGTAGAGCTCGTAGTGAAAGAGTTCGTCCAAGGAAGTACTGCCGGCAAGCAGTAATGTGGGGTCACATTACTACGCAGTAAGTTCGTTAAGTCCGTTTTTGAAATTTCATTCACGTGAGACTTGTCAACTTATGTATCAGGGTGACGGGCGCGGTGGCAGTGCCCCTCAGATCTTTGCGAATTAAAACTCTGAGTGGCACTGCAACTGCTATGTACAGGCGTGTCGCTTACCACCAGGGGTACAACTTGTTCGTCCCGACTCTCGGTATCATAAAATAAATGTAAACAAACAATATCTATTAAATTTTTATTGAATTGATATTCAATTATTTTTTTATGAAACCACTCCACTTAGAAAGAATTCCTTCGATCTGGCCGGGATTCGAACCGACATCTTCTAGCAAACCCTGTGTCTGACTCGACAAGAAAGAGACAAGACACGGAAGGAACCAGCGGACATCACGAATTTTTCTATGTGCTTGTTGTCGGATCTTTGCATTTGGTTTTCAACGACTTTTTAGCCGTAGCGCCTATGAGAAATCTATGAAATATCAATATGTATGTTAAAGTATGTCCCAGTAGCATTGACTTACAAATAAATGGACGACGGGTCTAATACAAAAACCACGAAAAAAATGTCCCAAGTCAACCTATTTAAACGTAGTGACATGTCAAGGAATATGAAAAAGCTAAAACGTTTATTTGTAAGTCAATGCCCAGTAGCAGGGAAACAACTCGGCAATTGTCCGAAAATTTTCAAATGGTGAAATTATTCCAAATATGTTCCCAAAAGTACTCTCGTGTTTTTTATGAAAGCTTATAATTTTTTTTTTAATTTCCTTAGTAAGCATGTGTATAAATTTGTCCCTATCCTAACACTACATCCAGGGTGGTAGACTATCGCCTAACCTATATCCAGCAGTAGCACGTAAATGGATGTCTAAAGTATAGTAACATTGTCATATAACTTGAAGACATTGAAGGCGCTGGATGAGGAGGTCCCGGGTTCGATTCCCGGTAAGACCAATTTGAGTAAAGAAACATATTTTATTTTATTTACCTCGACGTTTCGGACATATTGCAACGTCCATGGTCTCGAAGGGACTGAAGGAGCGGGTGTCAGCATCTTCTAGCCGTGCGAGTTTTTCTAACTACCCGCACTTGATCTTCATTATTTATTTGGCACAAGGGTTCTCACTAGACCGACACACAACACTCACGACATCCGGCGACTTGTCGGGCGATACTTGATGTCGTTTACACTTGCTGATAACTGGATCCCATGATGATGAAAGCTTAAAACCATCTTCTCGGTTGAAATTACGGTGTTTTTTAATTTCAATAGCTTCACGTACGGTTCTACTATAGTGATGACGTTCTGTAGAAAGGATCTTGGGATTATTAAGCTCAATCCAGTGTTTTGGTCCTGATTCTAGCAAATACTCCGCTATTGCATACTTGTTGAGCAGATGGTTCTTAACAGCCGCGATGTGTTCTTTAAATCTTTCCGCTGTGGTGCATTTTGTCTGCCCAATATAGGAACTCCCACAACTGCAGTCATTCTTGTAAACGCCCGGAGATTGAAAGGAGATTACGTCCTTAGGTGATCGGACATGCCCCGTGACCTTAGATAACGGCGTAAACACACTTTTTATAGAGTACTTTTTCAGTACTGTGCCGATTTTGTTCGTTATTCCTTTCACGTAAGGCGACGCTGGTTGCCTTGAAACGTCAGGACGTTTCTCTTTAGCCTTCCGCCGTGGTTCCCGTCGGTTCACTCTGTATCCGTTCCACCTAAGGACATTCTGAACGTGAGATATCTCATTCTCCAAGAGTTCAGGGTCACAAAGGTCATATACTCTGTTCAGCAGAGATCTTACAACAGACTGTAGGTGACGGGGATGGTGGTGAGACAGAGCGTTTAAATACTTGTCTGTGTGTGTCGGCTTCCTGTAAACTTTGTGCGTCAAGGATCCGTCATTTCGACCTATCACTTTTACGTCCAGAAAAGGCAAGCTCCGTTCCGACTCCAATTCATACGTGAATTTAATTTTTGGATTAATGGAATTGAGATGCTGTTGTAATTGCTCAACTTCCCGTTCACTGCCCTTCAAGGTAAATAAAATGAAATATGTTTTATACGTGATTAAGTCCCGAATTAAAAATCAAATAATGTGTAAAAATCGTGCAAGTTTAAATCAAAGTGTTGAGTAAAGAACTGTTCTAAATTAGTTGTAATCAGGCGTTCTTCTCCCGTTCACCGTAAGACATTTGTCCGAAACAATTATAGTCAAATAAGTAATACTCGAAAAAATTAAAAGATGCGTGATGCGAAAGAAGCTTCATACTTGACATTGAGAAATCCTATCACTCTTTACGTTCCTAGGATTAGGACAAATTTAGACAAAAGCGTTTTTAAATAGACCGTCTGGCTCATTTAACTCCTTAGTTAATAGATATGGTGGGTGGACTTGTTCAACACCAGTACAAGTAAACTAAAACGCTTTTACTGAGTGATATGTTTTTTTCTTCAAATATGTAGATAAACTGTTTAACGTTTTTAATTTCGTTATTTTTATTTATTGTTTTTTTTTTCTTTAAATCGGCAACTTACTTTATAGTTTGTTTCTGTCACTGTAAATAATTATGTGTGGAAACTTTATACATGTACTGGCCTGTCAGGCGTGTATTATACTTTATTCTATTCTTGTTACCTAGCTGTAAGTTTTCCAAATTTATGAAAAAAAAATCTTTTGATTTCGCCGAATACTTATTTGATTGTAATTGTTTCGGACAAATGTCGGACGGACAACGGGAGTAGTGTTTTGGGTAGCACCCCGGAGTGAATTAATCAATGTTGTTGTCTGTCACGTTATTATATTATTGCGGTGAACCAGGCTCGTTTCTACGCACCGAGCACCATCTTCATCGACGAGATAGACTCGTTGTGCTCGCGCAGAGGGTCGGATAGCGAGCACGAAGCTTCGCGTCGCGTAAAATCGGAGCTGCTCGTGCAAATGGACGGCCTTGGCTCCTCTGAGGAACCCTCCAAGGTAAGTAGTAAAATAAATACGAAAACATTTCAACGAATTACTTATTCTACTTGAGGTGAATATTATACTCCATTTGTTTAGATACGGGCAACGGCACATCAGACTACACATTTTTGTTCGAAAATCGCCTCCAGTGCAACGGGACAAGATACGTCAATGTGTAGCTTGATGTGCTGGCGTGTGTACTTAACTCTAAATGTAAACAATCTTGATACATCTTTTTGTTGAAACATATACTTTGCAAATCAATACGTATAAAAATAGGCATGCAATTTCGTATGAAGCTAATTATTTGTATTTTGTATTTGAAGGTGAGTAAAATTCATTTTATAAATGTACATTTCATTAAATAGACATCTCAAGATTGTTTACATTTAGTTAAGTACCTAAATAAATAGCCTATAATGTTCACCTCCATTAATATTAAATTAAGTCTTTATAACCTGCAAAACTATACGAAGAAGGACGAATTATTACATATGCGAAAGAAAATCTAAACTTAGTATCGGAAAAATTAGTCTCATCGGTAGCTGAACGAAATCTATGCGAAATTATTAATCAACAGAAAATATCTTCATATAATCGGTCTGTATAAACCATCTGAAAAAAGCAAGCTAGAATTCACTTAAGAACTGGATATATGTATATATTCTTTATTGCCCCAAAAAACATCATAAAACTGAACTATAGGAATAGTGAGCAAAGATGGACTTATCTTTAAAAGAGATCTCTTCCAGCCAACCCAAGACAGTGAGAACAAAGGTCATAAGCGGACACTATATTAATATATTACTAAAAGAAAGATTATAAACCTTTTGCATAATGAATTTGTAAATAACTCGTCATAATTCAAAAACACCTTGTGTGGACGCGGTCTTCTTGTAAAAAAGTAAATATATTAACTTTATGGTATGTATTTTATCTGTATGTACAGTATCAACCCCACACACATGTATATGAAATCGTTTTAAATATTTGATTTTAAATACGCCACTCCAAGTAAAATATAGGTTTTGTAGATTAGTTAAAGATTATTTAGTTAGAATGACAATCCTAAATCAGTAAAGATGAAGGAAAATTATAGTAACCGTTCCATACAAAATTGTACTTTTAAATATGTATTTAGGGGACCTAGTAATTCTAAAAGTCCGTAGTAGTACTTCATGTGAATAATAGAACTAGTTTGGAACGTTCGTTCAGTCCGAGCAAGGACAAGACGAACTTAAAGAACTAAAAGTAATTTCGTTATATAACTAGTAACTTCGGTCTTCCGAACTAGTTCAATTGACTGGTTTGACTAGGTAGAATCGCTCACTTCAAAGACTGAACAGACATCTAGCGGCTAGCTAACTTAGCTAAATCAAAATTGCACATGCCCCCGCCCCCTGCGCGACTCCTTTTGTCTTTAACATCCTCCGGGATTCGCTCTGGACCTTTTAGACGGAAAAGTGTCGTTTTTATTTTGACTTTCAATTATTTTGTGAAATCTAGTTTATTGCTAGCTATTGTGCCTTAATCGAAGATTAAAACGCGAAATTATACGAATCTCGATCTAAAATACCCGTATCGGCCCGTTTTAAGGAATCCCGAGTCAATCCAAGCACGCCGCCTCAAATTGCCTATCCTCTTTGTGGCGGCCATATTTACGGAAACATATTTAAACTTCATGTTTAGGCTGATGGCTTTGCCAAAGCCTTAATAAAAAAAAATAAAAAAATTAACATCCTCCGCGTCCCTGTAGTGGGCGTGGCCTAACTTATGCAGTCGACCTGCTGATAAGATAAATATTTATAATATTTCATCGGATGGCGCAGTCAAGGTCCATCAGAGGCCAACTGCACTGTGTCAGTGTCAAAAGAAGTGAATAGGCTTTTGCTACACTAACGCCTAACGACCAACATTGTCATCCACAGTCATATTTTAAAAATAATAATTCATTTTGTTTTCTCTTACAAATATTTGTAGGTAGTATATTACAGATTTACTTTCTGTCAGCTCTGAAAACCTTTTAATACAACTTTTTAGTTTTTCTATTTAGTCAGATCCTTTTATTTATTTATTTATTAAGAAATCCAACGGCGTTACATAAAATATTTTACATAGTGTATATATAGGCTAAGAGTAAAGCTAATGACAGGTTTCCCTTGTTTAGATATCGTTATATAATATTAAACAAAAGTAGGTACATCTAACATTAGTGGTGAATGAACAAGATTAAACTAGTTTTAGATGCCGAAGTAACAAAATCACTTGGTGTTTAAAGATAAAATAATAATATAATAACTGTAATTGGAAGTTAATGTAAACAACTCGTCATTACGCTAAACAGAAACTATTAAAAAAAGTGACCTGTTTAATGCAGCTATTGTCTTTCGTATTATCACTAGAATGATGGAACTAAGTTACTAGGGTACCTATTTTATTACCATTCTTCATGTAAGCAGCCGCCAAGGATGGATTGTAGCATTTCTACATTGGTTAAAATATTATGAATAGTTTTAAGATGCAATGTACCATGCGATGTGAAAATTTTGTGTCTACAAAAATAAAAATCTAGTGATAAGTGTATTTATTAGCTAATATAGTGTATAAAGTGCAATTGTATTTTAGAATTATTATATTGTAGATAAGTATCCCCTTGTAAAGAGGGAAGAAACAGCTGTAGGCATGCTTATGGCAGTTGCCCGTGATCATTGCTGCTCACATATGAACTCTTAAGTCCAGAAATGTATCAGTTGGAAGGAAAACAAAAAAAAATATTTCGTTAGATTAGCATTAGACAGTTGGTGTTAGAAGTTTAACGAAACTATAGGACCCTTTATAGTATGAAGTTTAAAAAAATACTGGTTTCAGGTGGTAATGGTGTTAGCAGCGACGAATTTTCCTTGGGACATAGACGAAGCGCTACGGCGGCGACTTGAAAAGCGCATATACATTCCATTGCCCACGCAAGAGGGCCGCCAGGCGTTGCTGAACCTCAATCTGAGAGAAGTCAAGGTCGACCCAGAGGTAGATCTTACCGCTATTGCCATGAAACTGGACGGTTACTCCGGCGCTGATATTACTAACGTTTGCCGGTAAGTCTTAATATTAACGCTGTATATCAGTTATCGTAGAACTTTTTGTACGACAGAGGTGCACCTACGAGTCACATTTCAGGTTCATCCAAGGAACACTTTGTTAAAAACGCGTATTTAGCGTATCTCGCTGACCTAGAACGAACGGTACAGACCGATCACCTGTACGTATTGTGTTAAATATCATGCACATCGAGCATATAACCAGAAATAGAGACGAAATAAGGACCATCCATCCCTGGTAACTCATCAGGCAAATGGGCCTTATATCACTTTTAAATGTCAACTCTCGTTAGCGCTGAAATCACAAATTAGAAAGCTGAAATAGTACAGCGCCAACAACTTGACCTGTGCGTACGTCTCCGTGTATTCCAAAAATATTCTGTATTTATTGTAATAAAGATAATACCTCTAACAAACAAAATAAATGTTCCATTCGGTGGTGTGGGAAAAACAGCAAAACATCTAATTACAAAAACGGAATCACATTTAATCGGTAATTAAATATGTAATTTTTCAATTTTCGTCCATTATAGCAAGGCTCAAGTTAAACTGTTCGATTTGAAGTGAAACAATTGACGCCACCCGTCAATAATTTCGAGTTCGGGCTAACCAATCGGACCGCAGTTGTCACCGCAATAATTTGGCAGAATAATTTACAAACAAACGAAATGACGTTTTGTCTCTATTTCTGGTTATATACTCGATGATCATACATACGACATACGACGCCTCTCGTCCACTGGAGTAAGCAGTACAGATGAGACTACCAGTCTCGACACGTCTTCTCTCGTATGAGAAGTTCTATACGTGAATTGTTTTTGAAAATTATTTCACTCACATACATGTAACTTTCCAGGGACGCTTCAATGATGTCGATGCGACGCAAGATCGCCGGATTAAAACCCGAGCAGATCAAACAACTCGCTAAAGAGGAACTAGATCTCCCTGTGACCATGCAAGATTTCATGGAGGCCCTGTCCAAATGCAACAAGTCCGTCTCCAAGGGCGACATACAAAAATACCTCAACTGGATGGCCGAGTTCGGCTCGTCTTGATAGACAGACAAACGAACTTAACCTATAGGCCCGAGTTAATTAATTGCCCGACACTTCCCGGTCTATGTCAGAAAACGTGACGGCTGAACACAAAACAGCAATAGATTAAGTATAAAACGTATTCCGTGTTTTACACAAAAATTCACAATTCTAATTATGAAAAACTGATAGTTAGGACCTAACACTACTAAAGCTATTTTATAAAAGACAACATTATTATCATACATTTGCTATAGAATATATTGTTCATAATAAGGTCTGACAAATAGTTTTTAATAGTTGAAACTTAAAAATGCCTTACGTTAGTTTAAGTTGGTCAGAGCAACAATTGGAATGTTCCAGTACATGATAACATATCGAAAACATACATATTTTAAGAAACATTAAATCAGTTTGACTTATTGACAGCCGCAAAATCTTAACACAGAAATATGTATAAAAACTATCATTCTTTAGGTTTAATTTTGTGATGTGTGAGACAGTTCGTATACTATTATCGTGTATATAATTAAGAAAGTTAATACAGCCATCGTTTTATGTAAATAGGCTTTTAAAGATCACACAAAAAAATAACGTATTTCTGTAAACCATACAGTTCGCCCACCATGTTTAGAATATTCTCTGCTACCCATTGTAATGCATTTAAATGTAGGTATTTGTTTGAATTTGTCAGCTCCAAGGAGTGACTATTTTAAATAATATCTCTCAGTATTTGTTAATATTTTTTGTTTAGGTATATTTATAAACACGCAAATTGTACTTAAATTAGGTTAATTGCGATTTGTAGTTTATTTATAATTTTAATGCCATAACTAATTTATATGAACTTTTTTATTTTTATAACTCTAGTTAGTGTTGAACTCTTTGTGTCGTTGCTTTTCAATAATAGTAGCCTAAACCAAAATGCTTTGTTTTTATTACTAGAGGTTGTAGTGGGCAGGGTATATTTACCTAAACTTCAAGTAATAGAGACACATAGAGATAATACCTCCCTCTGAAACTCCGGAATGATTGAAAATAAAAGGCAAAACAAAAAGTTAATATTTTATCATGCAATTACAATTATTTCCTTCTGCTTCCAAAACATTACTACCGAAAGAAATAGTTAGTTTAAAAAATATAGAATAAAATACACAATAACTCTGGCAAGTCAGAGGGAGGTGTTTATTCACAGTTTAAGTATTATCTTTACGTTTGTCTGTATTTTTTAAACCATCCTTCCGTTCAATTAAATGTTTTTGACATAGGCCGCTATTCTAGGAACCAATCGATATAACAATTTTATTTTTGCAGGGTACATATTATGAAAATGTGAAAGTAAATGCTTATTTGTGTCCTTTATTTATGTTTAGTTAGACCAAAAGAAAATGATCTTAGAATCTACATCAATTTTAGATATATAAAGTGTAGTAAAATTATTGAACATTTTTCCAAAACTCGTGTTTCATCATTTATTACATGTTTAATAAACTTGAGTACCATTTTCCGAATCTGCCTGTATAAGAATGCCACTCAAAGCATTTGTGTTCAAATCATGATTTAATTGTACTATGGATATTGATTAATTTTTAAAACTCATATTTTTGCAATCATGTTAACAAATCCAGTGTTTAAAAAAAAATGGAAATATATAAAATACAAGTTAATATTGTTTGCTTTATTTTGTAAATGAAAAAAAAAACATGTTTCAAATGAGATATTGCGCTCATATTAAACCTAAACTTTTCAATTGTGAAAAACTGTTTTAGGTTTTTGGGTCAGAACTATAAACATTCTAAACGGGTACCTGCAACACTATTTAGAACATAAAATAGTGTGTGTTTTGGGCTAAATCTAAATATTGATAAAACAGCCATCACCGATCTAGAAGTGATTTAGTAGATATACTGTCGTGATGGTGTTTTCATATAAAAGTGTTCGCACATTAACCTCAGTGTTCTACTTGCAAAATTTTGAATAATAACTAAGTAACATAATAAACTCAGACATTTTACATTGCCGTAAATTAAGCCCTATGTTTGATCATAGTACTGTAATACAGGCAGCTTAGGTTTGTATTTAGAATTGTATAAATAATAGAGGGTTGATGTCAAACGGACATCTATGAGTTCTGGACAAATCCTCGAAATTAAATATACGTATTCTATGGTATAAATCTTTATTCATGAATATAATCCTCGTCGTTTTATATTTAAAAAGTAATAGTACTACGTTCCCGTTATAGTACCTTATTAATATTTTAATAGAAAACGCTCGCGCTCTGACGTATGCTTGTTAGACCACTCCTATAATCATAGAATACTTTAGTTCCTAAATTATAATACATTTTTCCTAGGCATTCCATATCTTCTCTCTCTGTACTGAAGAAGACTCTTGAAATGTATTTGTCGTATACATTGTCCATTCCAATTCCTTAAACCAACCAAAAGTACACATCCAATTTAGTACCTAAATTTTATTCATAGTTTAGATTGTTGCAGAGAACAAATAAGTAATTGTTGTATGGTGACAAAAATTAATATACACACTTAGCAGGCATGTTTAATGGAACACTAGCCAAATCCTAAAAAGAATGCAGTGTTTTTTTTCAAAATTGTGGTCCACTGTTACTTTTTTATTGTAGGTCTAATTTAAAAATAAAATTGTCGATCGTTATTTTTTCATTCATTGTTTTAATTTCCTACTAATACAGGTTTGTACTGATTTGAGGTTGATTCGTAAACTTTACTTGAGAAGTTATTTATTTATTAAATCAAATTTTAATTCATCCCATACAATGAAATGATCCTTTCATAAAACAGTCGATAAGCACCAAAAAATTTTTGATCAATTTTATTACCGTTTATGGATAACTCGCGCGTGACCAAAAATTGATTGTGGCAAAATTGTTTTCACAAAAAAATACTTAGGTGTTAGGTGCGTTAAATGGTTCCTAGGACAGTTTCCTTGTATCGTATTAACCTGATTTCCTCATTTAAAAAAAAACACTATATTTCAGGCATCAGATCACGACTGAAGATGATCATTAGTTTTTATTACGTATATTATTTCAAAGAAAGTGTACGTGTAAAGTGTACATCCGACGTTTTTAGTGAAATAATTGACGATATGTACCAACACGATTATGCTCGTAAATTATTGACAACAACGAGGACCGGCCAGCAGAAAGTAAAATAAGTAAGTAAAAGTAATGAGACATAGATGAGTGTTAGTGTCAAATATGGATTTGATTGTTTCTCTGCTCCTTGTATGCATAAATAAAGAGGTCATGGATTTTTTAAATACCTACACACATCAAAAAAAGTTTGCGATCACTTCGAAAAACTGAAATCTTTTTTGTTACTGTAGATTATATTATGATTTAAAAATTAAAAATAAATTAGAACAAAATTAAAATATTTAAAAATAAATTAGAACATAAAACAATGACCCCGTTCAATTGTTTTTTCATATAAAAAGGCTTTCAGTCCTAGCTTACGCTCATTCAGAAATCTGATTTAGTCAATTATAAGCGATTCAAGATATTTTTCGCGGAAAGTTGTGATTGAAAAAATGCCAAGAGGATTATCAGAGGTTTTACGAGCTAGAAAAGTAACTTTGAGGGAAGAAGGATACACCACGAGAGTAATAGCACGCAGACTTGCTATATCCCAATCCTGTGTCGTGGCTACGTTGCAGAGGTATCACGGAATGGGGAATTTAGCTGACCGACCCCGCAGCGGTCGCCCAACTGTTTTGACAGCTGCCCAAAAGCGCTATATTAGATTGCTGGCAGCCCGTGATCCAACAATCAACGCCACTAAAATAAAAGCAGAAGTCAGGGCCGCCTCTGGGCTTGAAGTTAGCACGCAGACCGTTCGCAATTGCTTGCACCAGGCTGGATTACGAGCACGGAGGTCTTGGCGAGCTCCGCTCAATTCCCGGCAACGTCAACAACGAAGATTGCAGTGGGCTAGACTTCGGCAAAATGAAGAAGGTGAGGACGAAAACATTTGGCAAAACTGTCTCTTCGTTGACGAATCCCGAATCAGCACTCATCCAGATAGCCGACGTGTCCGTGTCTGGAGAAGACCAGGCGACCGTGAAAGACAATGAACTGCCACTGGAACAGTTCAGCAAGGCGGAAAATCGGTGTCCTTTTGGGGTGGCATTATGATTGGAGCTAGAACGCCTTTGATCCCGTATCGGGGCTTCATGGCAGCAGACATGTACAAAGCAGTTGCTATTGATGATATCGTCAGACCATTCCGAGTAAACCATGGGCACCAATTTGTACTGGTCGATAATAATGGGCGCATCGAGCTCAACGAGTCAATGCTGCTCTTCAAGAATACTATATCACACGATTAGACTGGCCTGCCGGCTCGCCCGACTTAAACCCAATAGAGCACGCGTGGGATGCTCTTAAACGAGCAGTATGGAACCGTGAGCCACGTCCCCAAACAGAGTTCCAGAGCTCAGGGAAGCCGCTATTGAAGAATGGGATAGGTTACCCCAGGAAATGCTGGATAACTTGATCCTCAGCATGCCCAGGAGGATCTTCGCATGTATTCGAGCCAGGGGAGGAGTTATTTTATATTGAATTCACACCTTTTAATAATAAATTGTTGTTTAAGTTTAATTAAACAGCTTTTTCTTTCTATGAAATTTCTATCACTATTACATTATGATTAATGGCTCAATTTTTTTATTTTCATTTCAAACAGGGTATTCCTATTTAAAGAAAGCATACAACATAGATTTTTTCTTGATAAAGTTAAATTTAAAGAATTATAGGAGCTTATGCTATTGATCGCAAACTTTTTTTGATGTGTGTACGTATCCTTTTATGTATAAGTAGATCATTGTGATACTGTCGATTTACACAATGGCATTTTACTATTTTTATTAATTTCGCTTTAAAAAGTTCCCGTTCGTTAGGTTCGCTTTAAAAGGTTCTCGAGTGTTAGGTTCGCTCTACGTTTTATTTTGTGCTCACTGTTCTTAAAGTTGGGTTTTATTTCGCGCTCTTAAAAACGTCTTTTCACATATATGTATTTCTAATTTGTGCATAAAAATTTGGTTGTGGCAAACGAATTTCCCGCGCAGCGTATGAGCGTACATAGTCTAAATCGGTATTTACAGTAGACAAGTTTTGCTACCACACACACACAATTTCGCAGCGTCTTTCATTCTTGTCTATGCTTTATAGAGTGGTCCCACAGCACCCAATGATAATAATATATACTTCATCATCATCATCGTAATACAGCCTGACTTCGCCCACTGCTGGGTAATATACTTATTTATTATTTATTTATTTGTTGAGCACTGGTTATAGAGCCATCAGCTTAACAAGCTAAACAAATAATTGATTCGAAACATAATAATACTTAAACTAAAAATTTACATGTGAAAAGGGAAAAAACTGTGACTGCAAAAACCCGCCATTTTTCCTTTAACTGAACAATCGTGATAATATGAATCTATGCACAATGCGCATTTTATACGCGCCGACGACGACGCGATGCGCGTATACACGCCGCGATGCGCGTATACACGTCTCAGGAACGCTATAGACGCGCGTACGTATCGCGCATTTTGACAAGAGCTTTAATTTTAGTTTTTAACCTACATCTAAAAAAGGAGGTCGTTTTCAATTCGACAGTATTTTTTTTATTTAAGCTCCGGCTTACTTTTTACTTCTGAACCGATTTTGATGATTCTTTTTTTGTTGGTAAGAGGGTCTCTCTCCTCTCTCTCACCTCTAGTTAACCGATTCTAATAAAATTTATACTAATACATGACAAATAGATGTAATTCACGGACTGTTGAGGTTGGTTTTTTTAGTACTCTGTACTAAGATTATGTTTGTCAATTTCAGTTAATTTTTTGAAGTGAAGCAACTATAAACACCAATTGAGTATATAAACTTCTTGCTTGCAACGCGATGTTTGCACGCGTTTGAATCGATTCGCAACAGCGCGTCTGCGGTGCGTATACGCGCAGATGATGCGTGTTTACGCATAAACGCGCGTTCATGAAACGCGCTTCGTCAGCGCTATAGACGGGCGTAAAAAGCGAGTTCACGAGTCTTTCACTTGCATTTTTTGCTAGCTTGCGTTGGCTTAGAAATCTACCTCGAATCTTCCACTTTGCGTTACGGAGAAACTTGCGCGCATGTGCGATGCCTTGTCTTTGTTTTGGTTTTATTGGACGCGTGGACGCTGCTGCTCTGTGATTGGCCAGTGGTGCTATCCTCCGCAAAAGTTCCCTGTTGCTTGCGTGGAAATATCAAGCATGCTAGATATCAAACTCACGCAAGCAAAGCAAAGTGCAAAGCAAGTGGCCGGCGCAAGCGAGCGACTCATGAACAGTCCTACCTGCGCGCCACGCAAGCAAGCGAAAAACGCATATGAAAGAATCCGGCGGGCAAACACAGGCATGTCAATGTTGGCAAATCGCTTCTTGACTAACGTAAAGAGTTTTTAGGTCAGTCCAGCGCTGGCATACCAACCTCAGAGGACGGAAAAATGCCAAAGTACAGAGAACGTAGCTTTTTCCATCCTCTAAGCTCTAAGCGTAGCGGTTGCTTATTTTTCGTGCCAGTAATCTTTCTCTCTTTGCTGCATTCAACCATGTCTCTGGACACGCATAAATACTTCGGTGCTTTTTCTGACGTTGTCGTACTGGTAACCACACCACACGTGGAATTGTCGCACGATTAGTTTGAGATTTTTTTAACAAAGTTATACTACTCGTATAATGTAATGAAGACGGAACAACAATGATCTTATATAAATATAAAAAAAATGGCGAAACAACGTTTGTTTACAAAATATACCAGCAACGTCCCATATGCTCCAAGCCAGCAATATGATATTTAACAAAAAAACAAATTTACGATTAGAACACAATTTTTGGTTATCGAAGAGGTAACAAGAAAATTACAAAACAGCATATCCAGTAATCTTAAACGTAATATAGATACATTTTTTAAATTATTTTTTAAACTTACTTAATATAATAATAATAACGCACACACTCAACATAGCCCCGCACTAGGGAAACCCTGTGTCGCGGGTGCTATGGACACACACATAGACAACCACAAATTACACCCAAACTCACGAGAGAAATAAATGTAGGCCATATAAATATTTCTCCCGGCCCGGGAATCAAACCTGGGACCTCTGCGTGGCAGTCCGGCATGGTAACCGTTCGGCCACGGAGGCAGTCGGAGATTTTTTCTGCCACGTGAGCGGTTGGATTTTACTAGAATAAATGAATGTTCACTGAAGAAACAACGTTAGTAACGTAAACGGCGCGGTGTCGTGTCAGTGACGGCATGCTACAATAATTGCTTAGACTGATAATGCTATGCTATAATGGTTGATTAACATTGTCACAGTGTTCGCCGTTCGAGGCGCCGCCGCCGCCATTGCCCCGGGAATATCGAATATCTATACTGGCACAGCACATCATTGGTAAGCCAATTATACTGGCCCAAAGCCGCTAACACAGGGATGTGACGATGCGGACGAAGGTCACTGGCATGATAAATGCAACCTTTCCTTTCTCTACTCGCTGGACGGGTATGAAAAAATGTTTACTCGATACCAGTGCTTTGCGAGGGTCAGTATACTCGTACAGTGGTACTGGTGCCAGTCATTGTATCGAATTAAATTATTATTCATTTATAAATCATCTATATTGGTGGTGCTGGCTAGTGCATGCGCCACTAGGTTGATGACGTCACCATACATTGCGGATTGCTCCGGGTATCTACGAGCATCGTATATATTTCTCATGTGATTCACCTAGTGATGTCATCGGCATGAGTAAAATGCTAATATCATACAAGCATAGAATTATATACCGACAATTTGCATATTCAGCACATACCAGCTTTCTTAGATGTTTCGGCTTCTAAACCTAAAGGTCGATATCCCCTGCTTCCGATCCGATGCTTCAACGGGTGAGCTCCGTTTTTTATGACGTAGATGAATAGTGAATATTTCTGGGTCCGAATAAAAATATCCATATTTTACACAAAAGGAAGTTCTAACAATTTCATTTCAACATTTTTAGTTAGGATTAGGCACATAATTTCTCGGGACGTTAAGAGTATTCATGGAGCTTACAAATATCTTTAGGGTGAACTACAATGAACTGGCTTTAGGTTGGTAATTCATGAAGACGTGGTCCATTCATATTGACGAAATGATGACAACCGATTTGACTTTGGTAAAATTCTTCAAGAGAAGCCAGAAACTTAAAAATAGAATAGAATAGAAATGATGACAGTCTATGAATTGGTTTTTTTGAGATGAAATTGAAATTGGCGGCGGTGGCAGGCAGAAGTTCCTAGTGAGGGACAATCTTTGTACGGCATAGAGTTTGTAGAGAGAAGCGAATTTCCAGTGATATCGATGTGAATAATGGAGCGGTATGCGAACATTAAAATCGATTAAGGACCATAGACAAAACTAACACTCATTTTATAATACTAATATTTATTTTTACATAATAAAGTAAACTAGAACTAAAAAAGTTAAATAAGCTAAATAAGGTAAAAAAATTTGGAGCAATAATTTACTTATGCTGATTAAAAAATCTCAGCAAAAAACATTTGCTTCTAGTGACGTCGGCCACATTGCTTTGTCATGGGTTGCCATAATTGTAATGTTGGTACATCGTGTTCCGTGATGTTTGATTCACAATGATTACCATTTAAACTTTGAAGTGTTCCTGCAAGATATATCCTAACAATAAACTTATCACTATTACTAAATTTAAAAAACATTTTCATTCTTATACAAGTATCCAAAGTTTGCTGTACTTTACTGATTTGAATTATAAAAGATGCGTTGATGACAGAAAGAAGTTAGCTACAAACCGACTTGGCGCCAGGGGAACTTGTCCGATGAAGTGTTGGTATCATTGGACTAACTACGTGGTAACGATAGTGCAAAAATGTAAACATGAAACTTTAAATAGTGGCTATTTATTCTATATAAAGAGTGATGTATGCTTTAGTAAATTATTGTAGCTTTATTATGTATTTCTGACCATTTAAAAGTTCACATAAACTTTCTCGACAACAACTATGGTTTCGACACTTTTGTTTTTTTTATAACCGAAGTGAACTTAGGCAAAAGCGTCGTCAAGCGCACTCGCCTGTAGAATTTCAAGTCCGTGTATAATGGCGGACGCTAATAATTGTGGAAGATTCGTTGATCTATTGTTCTGTTTCTAACTAAGACATAAGTATCGGGAATGAAGCTTGTGACGTGTATTCAATAGTAGTGTATATTACGTGATAGTGATATGAAATGTATAACTTTATAACGTGACGAAAGCGCCTGCTAGATATGTAACCTTTTCCCTAACCTCGTTTACGCCAATGGAGTAAGATATGTGATCGATGTGTGTGCGTCGGTGAACGATTTTTCGTCCGTTTGGCTTTAGAATTCTTGCGAAGTTGATTAGTTTATTAGTAATGGAAGTGTCCGCGTCGCGGTTTTGCTATCCGACGCCAGATTTCGATGTAACATAAGCGAGCCGGTAGATCAAGAGTGTGAGCGGGTCACCGCCACCAGCCGAACATGGCTGCGACGCAAGCAGAGACTCAACGCACCGAAGCGAACGTAGATCAGAGTCCATCGGAGCAGCTCAGTGAATCTCGGAACGCTTTATTACAGAACGGCACCGACAAAACGGTCGGGCGCGTTCCGCCCGATGGCGTCGTGAACACAAAGAGCAAGTCGCCTATGTCGACCGATACGGGCCAGGCACGCGACGGAAGCGAGGCGCCTGGTCACGATCGAGGTGGCGACAGGCCGGGGGCCGATCAGTACGGCCAGTACCGGTATCCTGACGTCGTAGATCCTTATTATTCTCAGCGACCCGGCTTTCCCGGCAAGCCGAGGCCGCCTCCGCCGCAGCAGCGTTTCTTCCCTGGGCAGCCGACTTCACAAGCTCCTGGCCCCACTCCTACGCTTAATTCGCTACTACAGTCTAGTGGGGCACCACCACATCGATACCCAAATAGCTATGAACAATCTCCGAGTGGCTACGGCCCTGCGCCCGGCTGGCCGCCGCCAAGACCCATGCCGCCGTACAATCCGCAAGGCAACCCATATAGGAACTCAACAGTAAGTTTTTATGCTACCTATTTTGTCAGATCCTATTAGGATACAGAAAAGACCTCTTAAGTTTAGGTTTTATGGAGTGATTGTAATCGTTCAAATGGCATGCATTCAACTGGGTGTCATTATGAAGCCTATTTTTATGATTACTTAGGTATTGTGTCTGTAATTTGAATTTTTTTAACCTTTATAGCCCTAATGTTACTTCCAGTCTCCTCAAGAACTCCAGGGTATTACAGTTTCTCTTGTTTAATTCTGTTACAATATTTCTCATTTCTTGATAAAATAACTAAATGCCTAATAGCTGTTAACTTTGTATACTTACACTTACAAAAAGATTTTGTTTTGATACATTAAACAAAAGAAAACTGTCCCTTAACCGTAAAGAAAATTGCCAAAGCGAAATGTATGGTGAGTAGACTAATAATTCCAGAGATGAGCAGACGGAAGATACCAGGTAAGTATCTAAAATGAATTAGGTGCAGATTTGACAGTAATTCCAGGGTTTCTAAGTTCAAGTCCTCTCTCTAAAGTAGTTTAATTTATAGTTTTCTTAATTGTGTTTGTATCGACAAAGTGAGAATTTTTATTATGTATGGCCCTGGGATAACTAACAGTTGGAGCCGGTATGTGAACACACCACAGTAATTTATCTTAAAAAGAAATATTTGTAATTATTGTATATTGGCAATAAAAAATGTTTCATAGATACTTGGTTTTGTTCAAATTTACTTATTTTTTTAATGTGCAACATTACTTAATGCCAAAAAGAATATAACCACTTCATACAAATCAAACCTTATTTCAAAGACCGTAAGGTGCACCTTTGGTTGAAATCAGAACTCCAAGTTTGTGCTAAGACTATAGGTTATGTCCTATGTTAACTATGAAAACACTATTTGTTCATGGTGGTGTGATCACTAATAGCTGAGCGCAGAAACAAATGTGAGTTGTTGTCAAAAAGTTGAAAAATGTCCATTCTGTAACTGAAAATAGTTAAGTGGATACAAGAAAGAGACATGCTTTGAGTATATTACTATAACACTTTAAGATGTTTAAGCAGCTGTTTATTTAACATTTTTATTAAAACCAATTGGTCACTGGCATGGCCTTAACAATTTGACAATAACTACGAAAAAATTTTACATTTTATTATTATCTGTTGTTTTCATATGTATTTAGTGTATCTTATTTTGAAGTAAAGGTAAAGTAAAATAGAAGTTTTGATCATCTTTTGCGAACAATTTTTTCCCAAATTTTGCTTGAACATTGGTTGAAGTGATTTTGTTAATTAATTTTTATCAACTTCCAATCACATTTTGAACAATCTGTGAAAACAGATCAGTTTGACCAATGCCTTCTTTGCAACTTAGCGAATTTAATTTTAGTTCTTCGTAAAATTCCTGTAAAAGCTGAAAAGTGGCAATATTCGTAAAACTTACAAGCTATAACTGATTTTAATTATGTTTCAATGTAAATATTTTGGCTGATCGTGCGCCAAAGTACCCTGACTATTATTATCTCTCTGAAATTTGAACCTTACAACATTGACCTTAAATTATTCTCTACAGGTGTCTTGTTAGGCTTAACAAGTTACCTGTAGAGAATTATATATTATATATATGGTTATTGGTACCAATAAAAATAACTATTATGCTTGATAGACAAAGAATGCAAAAAAGTTTATTTTCTGTGACTTTCTGGCTTTTACATGATTTTTTTACAAATGTACAGTCAACAAGACATCGAGCTAAACCCTTTGGTTCGAATATCAACTCCAGTGCAACAGAACAAGATCTGTCATTGTGTAGCTTGATGTGCTGCCATCTGTACATTTTGTGTTTTCTAAATCAAGTTAAAGAAGTGAAATACTGCGTTAAAAATAAAATTACTTTCCCATTTATTTATGATCAATTAAAAATGAATCAATTATTTTTAACAAATTCACCTGTAACTTGATTGTTTTCCAGATGCTAACACCTTGTATTACCCGTATGTGTAATTTTAATTTATCCTTGCTTAGCGAAAGGGTTATATATTTTACTACCCTGGAGTATAAAAACCCCTCATTCTGCAATTATATATGGAAGTTGTATTCGAGAATTGTACTGAATTGGTTTTTTTCAATCAAGGCACATATTTTTTCATTGTGTTATTTCTGATGTTTAACTATAATTAAAAATTTATGTATTTTTCACCAAAAATAAAAAGATTCTTAATTCCAAATAAAAAATAAATATCAAGCCAAATTATTAAACATTTAGTTAAAATTAGTAACATAAATGCCGAAAGGGACGATCGAGAACGTTGATGTAGTGCAACTACTATAATTGAACCAGAATTGCGGCCTGCATTAATAATAATATAATAACGCACACACTCAACATAGCCCCGCACTAGGGAAAACCCTGAGTCGCGGGTGCTATGGCCACACACATAAACAAACACAAATTACACCCAAACACACAAAGGAAATAAATGTAGGCCATACAAATATTTCTCCCGGCACGGGAATCGAACCTGGGACCTCTGCGTGGCAGTCCGGCGTGGTAACCGTTCGGGCACGAGGCAGTTAGCATTGACGGTGTTGTTCGAGTCTAACTGGAGCTGACTAACTCCTGTTGGTCAACTCCGTTAGACGTGAACAATACGGTCCTGTCTTGTGTTGTGCGTTTATTATAGTAATTTAGTCATGGAATAAAATAAAATATATATCGTAGCTTAGAAAACTTGATCTGATGTTAGAAAACGTGTCAACGTAATCATCGACTCTATTGAGTGAAGAATAAAAAATCACATGCAAACAATCATATGAAATACAATAATTAATAGCGACGTACTTATTAAGTAACTGAATATTAATATTAACTGACAAGAAATCTATTATTATACGTACAGATTTTAAAACCACGCTTTTTCTGAGAAACGAAACGCGAAAGTATTTCATAAAATTTACTTAATTTCGGAGAACCAAATGTGAGGAGTCAATGCGGAAGGAATATCTCAGCAACTTTAAAAGCGACATCGTAAGCGATCCTTGACTCTTTATAATAGAGCTTGTGAGACATTTTAGGAATTTTACATTGCCTGTCCTCTATTTCAGGACAATATTTTATAATTTACTTATTTTAGATTCATGCAAATTTGAAGCTTGTACGTTAGTCCCTAGACAACATTTTTTGTTTAAAAAGTGCTTTGTTTATAATAGCATGTTTTCAATTTTTTTATTTGTCTAGGAGTTACTAAGCCGAATTTTGTATCATTTTCGAGAGAAACTTATTACTACCTAACTAATTTTTACAATAAGTAAGCGAGTCGCCACATTTGGTGACGCGGAATCTGCTTGAGCCGGTCAGAAAAAGCTTGTCAAAAAGCTTTTTTTTATCGGCTTTATGATTCCATATCGATAAGTGTGGTGACTCCCTTACGTGATACAAATCTGCGAAAGCTTTCCTTATAAAACAAAGTTCTAACATCTAAAATAGATTGACTTCCCAGTTCCGTTTTGAACGTTTTAAAAGAATAATTGTGTAATAAAGTGCAATAACGTAGCCGTATTTCCGCAACCGATAGCAAATCGAGAATGCTCGAATTTTCCCGTTCCTATATCGTGAAGATTCAATAAAAAGATTTTTATTAGTAGCGGAATGTTCATTGTTCGCGCGCGTGAATGAATAATGAAAAGGTTTCAATTAAAACTGGCAGTTTTTGTAGTGGAAATACAGCGCCCCTTCCGCTGAAAAAAGAAACAAATTTTCTGTGAAAATGTTGGGAGATTATTACCAGAATTAGGAATGCACTTGTATGTATTATGTATTCACGTCATTGTTACTTTTTCGTAGTCGAGTAAAACGAAAAAAAAGCCATGCAGGAATAACAAAGCGAGCCCGTTTGTAACGAATATAAAAACGAAAGCGCTCTGCGATAGTGAAAGTTTGATGTGTAGGCAAATGTCCCGCTTTCAGGCGAAGGTTTCCGTGCTTCTACAGCTCGCTTCGAAATAGGGGCGAAGTTTTCCCAAATCCGCTAGCCTTAAGCCTTTTCCGCGCTACGCACATGTTTTATTGTAGAGCGTGATTGAACTTTTAAGTAATCAACGTGTATGGGAATTAAATTTGAAATATAGTGCATATAGTAAGTGACTGAAACCTATGTCAGGCTCATAGTATATGGAAAACTATGCCTACCCCAATGGGAAAATGTTGTGAGGTATATTTATGTAGTAACTACTATTTATGACAACATTTTCTCCATATCTTTACTCGGTTCAACTTCTATTTTTTAAAGTTTTTTTCAAAATTTGAGAACGACATTGTAATTTTGTGCATATTAGATTAAATCTTGATATATAACCGATATAACCACATTAGAGAAATTTATGACAACTTTATATACTCTTTAAAGTAGTCATACTTTGTGAAATGCAATGTATGTGTATTGCCTACACCCACGTGTAAATCCTAGTGAGTCGCCAGTTACGGTATTCCGTAACAGGCCGGCCATAAAACAATGCATCGAGCACGTGCCTGTTTACACTTTGGAGTTCACAACCAAGGTCGTACGCATTTGTAAGGATGTACCATGTAGGCTGCGTACGAACAAATAATAAAGATTTAGTAACCGGCTCATTTCACACGGTACAGTTTATATTTCAATCGTAATGAGTTTTTTTTTGCAAATTAGTACAAAATGATGTTTACGATTTTATCATTTTGTATTTTCATGCCTCAAAATGTATGCAGATTGATTAAGCCTCGTCACGCCTACCAATGGGAGCGCGCCACATCTGCTGTAGGTCTGAGCAGTAGTTCAATTTGAAAGCTCTAGACTTGCTCTGGCCCTTGACTTCTGAGAGCAGCACCGTAGGAGCATAATTATTTTGTTCCGAGTGCGCGTTGTTAAGAAGAGCCCTCATCTAAAGACTGCTTACTGAATCACTACTTAGCATCATGTTATTTAAATAGAAACAGCAATATAATGTTTATAATGGTCGATTGAACGTGGGA